GGTGTTTTTGTCGATTTGGTCCAATTCTTCGCTAGTAAACAATTGTGTGTAGTGGTTTATTGCTGCTGCGGCAATAGACCCCTCATCAGTATGTATGACTCCATCACCATCTTCAATAAGGAGGATTTTCTGATGCTTCCTTTTGGCACATACATAGTTGTGAAAAAATGTAGTGTTAGCATATATGAGTATATATACACATAAAAATATGAAACGTTGGTCATTTAAGCAAATTAATGATAGTATTCAAACCTTAAAAAACGTCTATATATTAATGTGCTGTTGAGTTTAATCCAACACGATATAGTAAATATATGTATAAATGTGTATGAACAACTCAGTTTTTACGTGGAAACCCGAAAGGGAGAAAACCACGGGACTTTTTAGGCTAATATCCAAGCCCTCTCGTTCTCATTAGGACTCTCCTCACCATTACATAGTACAATTTGAGCTCCCATTAATGGAGTCTTGCAAGCTATTCTAGAGAAAGTAAATGAGTTGGGGAAGAAGGAAAGAGCCCCTTTTACATGGAGGGAAACCTCCTATTTATAGGGAATAGGGGGAAAGGGGGCTCTCCACCCTAACGGGCCGAATGGGCCAAAATGGGCCCAAAGGCCGAAACAGGCCTGATAGGCTAAAATGGGCCTTACTGATTGGGCTCCGTACTACGTAAAGTCTTGGGCTCCTGAACAGTAATAGGCCGGGATAATATATCCCAACATGTGCTTTTATGCATTTAGTAAAAAACCGTTTCATCTAAAATCTTATAATGGTGAGTGAGGGTTATACCCTTTTGGGAATGAAATTTTTGTTGGTGTAACTTATAGCATTAGGAGGTTGTAAATTCTGCTCCAGTTGTTGTACCATTGGTATTTCATCCGTAATATCCTTAACGCTTCTCTTAATTCCCTCGCATCTCCTACCTCTCTGTTTTTTTCTTTCCGCCTGCCTCTTTTTTATTTCCATCGAATTTGCGTCCCGAAAAGATGAAACCCAACAGACGAAACGCGCTTTTCTCAGTAACACAACTGCAGTGTTAAGCAAATTGGTCCTCACGTTTCCATCTTTTCATAAGATCCATTATATGATAATATCCCCCGCCAAACAGAGTAAACGCCGCTAAAATGACTCAACAACCGTGAGTGAATTTCTCGGTCATCGCTCTCCACCGCACTCGCCGGACAATATCCCTTGCCAGCCCCCCTGCGCACATTAGCTTTGATCGCTCCAGTCCAAACGAAGATCCATTTACGGTATGACCAAATTCCTAATTTGAAATTGGTTCTATTTTTAATTTCAACTCCATACCTTTTGACTGTATGTGTCAAGATACCGTCTGGTTGTAATGCTCTAGAAAGGCATATTTCGAACACTTTTTTGCATATGCAAATAATATCATTGAAGATATCTATTTATGCTTAAAATGTCTGATGTAAGCATGAATGTTTTTAACGCCTCTAACTACAGTTTATTGTTCCCTCTATAAAAACTTAAATTTCAAGTGGCCACATTGCATAGCCGTTTTCACATTTGTCTTTAATTTTTGTACTTTTAAACTGCTCCAAATATCTTCATTTAGAAGATTTTCTTGTTGTTCTTGTTCCTCGTGTTCTTTGAATTCAAATAGTAGATTTAATAGTTTTTTATGTTCTTTTTCTTCTCCAACTTCTGCCTGTTTTTTCTTAAAACTACGCCTGCAAAGTCCAATAAGTTAATTTGATTGTCAAAATCTTTCCCTTCAAATTTTCGGAATTCTTCTCCCTCAAATTTTTGTTCAATTTGATCGACAGAATTGGGCTCTCATGGAGTATATTTTTCCATCTATTGTTATTAAAATTAATGTTTGTATGAGTGTAGAAAAGAGCATTTCATTACACGACGGATCTAAATAATTCACTACCGGGTTGTGTGAAATAATGGGAAAGGGGTATTCCAATAGGAGCCCTAACAGATATATTTATAATAAAAGAGTTGCCAAAATACAAAGTATTCCTAAATAGATATTAGGCAGATTCCTAAATATATATTAGGAAGATTCCTAAATATATTAGGCTATTACACCCCCTCAAACTGTGCGGGAGATACAACGCGCAGGTTGTCTATTAAAAATAAAATTGCAAACTAAAAAAACTTTAAGTAAATATATCTAAAGAATCAATGTCTGCAGCAGCAAGCGACGAACTCAACGGCGCGCTGGAAGCAAGCACCATGGTCAGCGACGCAGAAAAGGTGGGTTGTGCGGACACAGGCAGCAACATGCGGCGAACTCAACGGCACACCTGAAGCAAGCACCGTGGTCAGCGACACAGAGAAGGTGATCTGCGCCATATCAGCTGCGCTCATCCTCAAAGCACCGTGGTCAGCGACACTTTAATTAATTGAAACTTGTTTTTTTTTCTTTTTCATAACTCATATGAAATCTTGTGTGTTTTCTTGGGGCATTCTATTTAGAATGTAGTTCTACTTAGAATGTAGTTGGCAGCTAGGATTATATCCCCCCCACAAGTTGTTTGGTGCATGAGAGCTAACTAACATAACATTAACCATGCCCTTAAACGTTCCATTTTTCCTCTCATCGATTCCATTAGATTGAGGTGTATAAGGAGGAGTAATTTGATGAATGATTCCACTTTCTGAGCAAATGGACTCAAAAGGATATTCATATTTACCACCCCGTCACTCCTTAAACTTTAATCTTTCTTCCCAGTTGATTTTCAACTTCAGCTTTATAATGCTTAAAAGCATTAACAACTTCATCTTTGCTATGTAGCAAATACAAATAACAATATCTTGTGCTATCATCGATGAAGGTAATGAAATACCTTTTCCCCAGGTGGGTCTGAGGGAGGGAGACTGGAGTAATCAGAGCTGAAACTCACTCCATTGAATTTCAAGCCCCTATGTGCCTAGCGGGTTTCGAACCCGAGACCTTAGCTAGACACGGTAATCTCCCATCCAGCGAGCTGGAATGCTTAGTTGCATGCATCATATTGCTTTTGTTCAATATGTTCATCTTAAGATTGTTGTAAAAATTCATATATTCTATTCTGCATGTATTAATTAAATAAAATAGAAGTAATTAGAAATACTTGGATGAAACCGAGCCCAATGAATCATTGTCTCCTTAAGACGAATATGCCCGCAGCACAAGTAGCAATCGCCTCCCATGATAGAATGATTTTTCGTTCCCGAAGGACACTGGCGAATGAAATGATGCACTAAAGTGGTGGAGTTTGGATGAGGAAGATTAGGAAAACTTTGAGCATTTTTCGGACTTCTAATTCAGTGAAAACGCAGGCCTCCTAATAGGATTTATAGTTCTCTGGCCATGAGACACAATCCCAAAAGATGCCTATTAAGAAAAGGTAGCGACCCTTCTCTTAAAGTTGCTTTTATCGGAAGATAATTTGTACAAAAATAATGTTTAAGCCACGCGAGTACCCACCTCTATTCGAAACCCGACCCGACCTGTCCAACCAGTCGGATGGCGGCGGCGGTCTGAGACAACTCCTACACAAACATTGCTTCGGAGAGAATTTCGGGATACAATTTTTCATTCATTTCAAAATTGATTTTTTACAAGTATTATATAATTTGTAAAATCATTTTTCCAAAAGATTATTTATTATTGACATATTATACTCTGTAAATATGAGAGCCAATATGCGCATGTATTCCGGTTGGAGAAGAATTTTGGTCAAGCTCTCATCTAGTACTCCGTATATTTTAGTTTTGCTACCATTAGGGTGTTTTTATTTGAACGGTTTTGAGTCTCACCAGATCAAATAAAATCAGACCAGACTTAAACAAATCAGATTAATCAGACTTCTATAGTTATAAATACACAGAGATCATTTTTGTTGGGAGTCATTTTTCTTTTCTCAAAGTATTTCTTTCCTCACTTCACCATTCCTTAATTTTTCTTTTCAATCTTTCAATATAGATCCGCCCGCAATCAGGAAAAGATCAGCAAATTTCAGCCCAATTAAAAACATCCTTATTTTTCACATTGGTTTTAATTTCACTAATATCAATCATATAACATGTCATATTTTCTCATTCAATTTTATTTCACTAATATTTTGGAAAAAGTATATATTTACAAGATTAGACTAGATTAGATTTAAATAGATCAATCAGACAAGATCAAACTTGAAAATTTCAATCAAATTATCAAATAAAAAGCATCCTAAATAATAAACATATTGATACCCCTTCTGTCCCATAAAACATAGCCAAATTTGACTAACATCGAGATTAATAATGTAAAACATGTGTGATAGAAGTTTGTGTAGAGAAGAGAAAATTAACTACAATTGTAAGTTCTTTATTTGAATGTGAAACTGGCAAAGTTAGTAATACAACAAAAGATAAGTTAACAATTTTTTATAATTCAAAATTAATCCGAGGAAATAGAGATTTTAATTTGTGCGGGGATTGAAGCTTCTGGAGTACCCATCGAAACAAATACGGAGAACCTTCACTTCCAGCCTAGCTGGTTGTGAGGTTACCCCTGCATAGGAGAGGTCTCGAGTTCGAGTCCCACTAACATCAGTGGAACTATGCTTCCCCAAAAAACCCTTCAAGTGGTAGGGCCAAGCGGTGTATACTATCCCGTAGGGCCAATCCAAAGTCGGGTTTCCGGGGTAAGGGGCTGTGAAAGCGGTGGAGCTAGTCACTATAAAAAGTTTACCCATACCTTAGTTTTACCGGTGGGCGTAGCTCAACTAGTAGCGAAGGAGTGCCACAAGAGTTATGTCTCGGGTTCGAATCCCGGCAACTGCGATGTGGGGTTACTATGCTGAAAAATGCATAGGGCCTCTGCAAGTACCAGGAACAAAGCCCCACTCTCTATCTGTCAGATTGTGATTATAGTCCAATTTACATCCTCCCATCGTGCCGTCCGGTCGGTGTTGGGAGCCCCGATGAGGTGTCATCTTTTTTTTATCGAAACAAATACGGAGTGATCATTACCCTTCACCAAAATTCTGGCGCTTGCCAATTAATAGGCATAAATGATTGACGTGAAGCATTCAATGGAAACGTTGGAGGATGTCCGCTGAAACTGTACACCTTTCATTTTCCAAACCCGATTTTAGACCCTCTTTTTTCATTTTCATTTTCATTTAATTAATTAATTGCATAATTAATTAATTATGCAATCGGTTGCCATCAACTTCCGCTTCAACGTGATAATCCGTGATCTCGCATGGCCGCGTGTTTCCGGTCGGCGGCGGTGACGCGGAATAGCGAGGGACCCTTATCTTCCCCGCATCTGATTCTTCCCTACGTAATATCTATCCTTTATTAGTCCCCAACTGCACGCCATTATTGATCCTTTAAAAAAAATCCATCTTCACATAATATATACAGAAAAAGATCGATCAATTCAAAACAGAAAGGTGTGAAACTGTGATGTGAACTATGCCCAGGTCGGTAAATGTCTTCAACAACCCAATCCCAGAGTTATAAAGGGTTGACTTGGGCCCGCTTAATCAACACAATCTCTGTATATAATACAAACTGACCCTCTGTTTTCTTCCTACAGATCAGACCATCCATTACCAAAGCTCAATCTCTTTTCTTCCCTTTAATTTAATTTCAAGATACGTTTTTTTTTTAATATTTTGTGATAATGGGGAGGAAGAATACAATGTTGGGGTTCCTTCCGGCCTTGCTCATGATCAGTTATCTGTTCATAATGGGGAGACCTCCCATGGCTATGGCGGCAACGAAGGCTAATATGGTCACAGTTCTAAGTGTGGATGGGGGAGGAATAAGGGGGATAATTCCAGGGACCATTCTGGCGTTTCTGGAATCCAAGCTCCAGGAATTGGACGGACCAAACGCCAGAATAGCGGACTATTTCGATGTGGTGGCAGGAACAAGCACGGGTGGATTGGTCACAACCATGCTTACTGCTCCCAACAACCAAAGTCGTCCCCTGTTTGATGCCAAGAACATTACCACATTTTACAAGGAGAATGGTCCTAAAATATTTCCCGTTAGCAGGTAAACCAGTTAAAAATTTCCGTCCAAGTAAAAACATCTTAATTTATCTGAACGGACAATATTCTGGTAAAGTTTATACATTTTTATGATCTTAACACTCTTCATGAAAACTAGTTGTCAACTAGTTGATCTGAGCACTTGTACTTCAATTATTGATTTTGAGTCAAAACCAAATTAAGAAGATGTCACTTTATGAGTTTATGTGGCCTTTTTGTCACTTCCAAAGTATTTTTTGGGATCCATAGTACATTTGTCCATACATAGCTGTAATACACGGAAGTTGAGTGCACAAAAAAAAATGTAATACATTTTTTTTTAAGGAAGTTGAGTGCACTGGGTGGCACAAATCAATCACAGAAAGTCAGAAACATTTATGTTACAACTTGGTTAAAGTCATAGATATGTTTTGTTTTATAAATTCTGGGACAGTTCTTCAATATTTGATTTACTGATGGTGTAATGTCATTGTTGTTATGAAGCCGTAACAATTTGAACTTAGTGGCCGGGCCAAAGTACAACGGGAAGTATCTTACATCTATGGTGAAAGAATTGTTGGGAAATACAACAATGAGCCAAACATTGACTTATTCCATCATTCCAACATTTGATATCAAGCGCCTTCAGCCCATCATTTTCACAACTTCTGATGTATGTTACTACAAAGTTGTTTTTTTGAAAGGGTGTCTACTACAAAGTTGAAGTTTTACATATATCAAATGTGTGGAACTCAACTGATTTTATGTACTGAAATACTCTATATGTTACGTTTATTAATTGAAAAAGTAATGTGCAGGCTAAAACAAATCCCGCTAAGAATGCTCTACTCTCAGATATCTGTCTTAGTACCTCTGCCGCGCCGACCTTTTTTCCGCCTTACTATTTTGAGACTAAAAATGTGACCGGAGGCGTGAATAGCTTTAATCTTGTCGACGGAGGACTTGCTGCCAACAATCCGGTGAGAATTTATTTACTACGATAGTACTTGGTATATGGTGAATTTTGTATTTATGTATCTGTATAATGTGGTCCATGTGGACTAAGACCTGATTTGTCATACTATGGCAAGTCTGCCTTAATGAGACTACTAGTATAATCAACATCATTATTAACATCATTGAAAACTGAAATCAGTTTTGGAAACGTGGAGAAGTGCTTTTAATTTTTGTGTTGACGTTTTAAAAAACCTGGAAGTATTAGAATGGGATGAGTATGTACTCTGTACTATAAAACATATACCATGAAGCTTTAAAAAAACATAAAATACACAAAGTCACAAATGGAAAATGAAAATCAGATCAAATAGGGCCTTAGTTTTTCTTTTAAACATATAATGTATGTACAGAGTATTTCACTCTTCCATTTAACTTACAATGGAGTATTTTTCATATGTAGTAACATACATCAGAAGTTGTGAAAATGATGGGCTGAAGGCGCTTGATATCAAATGATGGGCCTCAGCTTCTTTTGTTTTGTAAAATTATTTATTTATTGGGTTTCTCATGAATCCAACAGACTATGATGGCCATAACCCTTCTCTCAAAGGAAATTATGATGGGAAACTTTCAATTTCAAGATATGCAAAGAATTGATACAAAGAGAATGTTAGTTTTGTCATTGGGGACGGGAACCGCAAAGAACGAAGAGAAGTATACTTCTACCTCAGCTTCAACTTGGGGTTCGCTCGCATGGGTGTTCAACAATGGTCACACTCCATTGATAGATATATACGGGGCTGCTAGTGCCGATATGGTGGACATTCATGTTTCAACCATGTTCCAAGCTCTCCGCGACGAGAAAAACTATCTTAGGATTCAGGTACTCTAATACAAAGCAAACGTTATTATGTGCTAAAATCATTCATTATATTACAATGCACATGTCTTAAATCATCCCATATCGGAAGTATCGAGATACAAAGCAGCATATAAAAGTATAGATCTTTGAGAATTAGAGCCAATAAAAGTGTAACGAGATATTGAGAGCACTTATTCGCCGACTTCAACCAAAGGATTATACATTGTCACTGATTTTAATAAATCTTTTCGACGAGTCTAATTCGAGGTCTTTTTAATTTGGCAGGATGATATGCTCACGGGGACAACATCATCGGTGGATGACGCGTCTGCGAAAAACATGGACTTGCTTGAACAGATTGGCAATGATCTTTTGAAAAAGCCAGTTTCCAGAGTCAATTTGGATACTGGCAAATTTGAAGCAGTTCAAGGGGAAGGCACCAATGAAGAAGCTCTCACTCGCTTTGCTAAGCTACTTTCAGATGAAAAGAAGTTTAGAAGAACCAACTGAAAACAGAAAACTTAAACAAAATTTCTCAACTCCAATTGTTCGAATTTTCTGAACATGTTGTGTTCAATATATTTTGTTTCTCTAGAAGAAAAGAAATGCATAATGACTCTTGAATAAGTACTAGTATATGATATGATAACAAATTAGTACATATTCTACTTGGAAGCATCTTTCCGATTATTTGGTTCATATGGTTCTTTGAGTACTTTTTTAATTTACATTTTCTTCAAATCATGAAATTCAATGGCGTGTTTCTAAGTTGTGGTATAATTGAAGAAAAGTTAATGGTTGGATTCATGGTTAGCTTAGAAAGAACTTCAATATGGAGACTTGCGCAATAAGTAAATTACTCCATGAGATATCAAGTAATGCAAGTACATAGATAACTCCAAAGCATGAACATTTTTGAAAGCCGAGCTCAATTTATAACAAGAATAAAGAAGTGAAAACCAAATATGTGTAAGTTCGTTTAAGAACATGAATTTTTACCTTGCTTTTCATATATTTAGATCTCTATTTTTTCAAACCCCTCTTGCTTCTGTTGAGTAAAAATTTATGGTAAAAGCAATAACCTTTTCATAGGCTTTCAAATTTTCAAGCCCTTTATAAAATTGGCGTAAAGTGTGAATTACGTAGTATTTTGCAAGTTCTGAATGTAGATATATGATCACCTATGAGATATATATGATCTATTTTCATATTTTGAATTATGTTTACAACATTTTTTTATCGTCAAAACGGATGATTTAAATTGATATCCCAACATTCAGATAGGGGGTAAAACGACAAAAGGACCACATGCAACCACCCGCCTTCGAATCAGACTTAAATTCAATCACCTTCAAAAAACAATATGACTCGTTGATGACAAATGAGCCAACGACGGTTAAAACATATCTTCTATCACCCAATCATAGTGCAAGAGTCTTACAATAATAGAAGTAACCAATAGAAAAATAAACAGTCTGATCAATGTCTACAACATTTAAATACAAGTTTTATATGTACCCTCATTTTAGAAAAAAATCAACATTTTAAAAAATGTACCTTAAAATGCATATATCCTTGCAAAGATGTCATGAATGCAAAAAGAGATATGCACTATTCACTATTCAGTTGTTTTACGAACTTTATTGTGAATGAGTTTTTTAATATAAATAGAATACAAATTTGGATTTACATCCCATGCTCACACAATCACGCATATCGAAACATAAATATTATGGAATTGACACAAATTTAGCATGAATTTACCAATAATTTTGAGTCAAATAGCTTTTGCCAAAGTGATTTTGGTTAAGATTTGACGTATTCCTACCAAATCTTTTGTGGATTTTCGCGTATTATTAAGTTTGGTTCAAGGAGAGGATTTTTTTTTTCTATTATTCTCTTTATCATTATACAAGAGTCGGCGAATATATACATGCTTCACACGGCTGTACTACGTACGTATATTTCTCCTTTGTGAGAAATTCTAAGAGATAAAGAAGGAAAAGAAATAAATGGTGTGATCTCCATCCTAATCTAAACGTATGAGTAGTAATATACTTAATAATATACACAACACATATTCATACTTAAAATTCTATCAATTCCGTGTTTCTTTGTAGTGTATTTTCTTTGTAGCTAATTAAAAAGCATACTTACCTCGGGATGAGGGTTCAATCCCTAGTAATGTCCATTTTGTTTTTCTTTTGCCTTGATGGTAGTGATGGCAACGGGGCGGATCGGGGACGGGTACACATAAAACCGAAACCGCCCCGTTGGATAAATGTTTGCCCCAAAACCGCCCCATTACCCATTCGGGTAATTTTTATTTGAACCGTACCCGCCCCAACGGGGAATCGGTTTATCCACGGGTAACCGTTTCCCCAAATGATACTAAATAACCAATTCTTTTTAAAACAAATAACCAAGTTCTAATCCTACTTGTTATTTATATATTCAAAGCACCCTAAAACATACAAAAGTAAATATTTAAGCAATTAAGTAGACTGGCCTAAATTCATTAGTATGACATGTACCTAATATCTGTTGTAACATAATACAAAAATAGTAATCATCCGAGAATCCAAAATCCAAAATTAGGTTTAGGCCTATATTTAGTTTTAGACCTAAAAAAGTACTCATAGTTTACTTTTTAGCATTATTTATATGATACTCCGTATATACTATTTAGTATACACAATTTAGCATATATACTTATTATGCTTATATATAAAAAGTTATAATTCATTAATAATGTTACGGATCGGGTAACGGTGCGGGTACCTGCACCATTAGTGAACGGGGCGGTTTCGGGGCGGATAACGGGGCGTATTAGTATAGAACCATAACCGTACCATTAACCATTTAAAAAATTCGGGTATTCCCCGCCCCGTACCCATTCCCCAGTCAAACCGGTTTTCCCCAGTTTGACCAAATCGGTTCGGTGCGGGTATCCAACGGGTCGGCCGAAATTGCCATCCCTACTTGATGGTTTGCCTACTGGGTTAAAAAGACCAGCTAGTAAATCTGAATTGGTTGCATCCGATCTGAAACCGGCTCCAAATTACACTGTGGACCGACTGACCTGTGTGAGAAATGAAACCGGTCTTGAACCGTACCACTCCATACTATATACGCACAAATAAATATATTTCAAAATTCCAATTCATTTGTTATGATTTCATTTAGGCCAATTAGGCGAAACTTTTGTACTGTGATGGGCATCAAATAATCACAGCCTCCAAATATGTGCGTTCGAGTGTCTGAAAATAAAACGGCATGATTATTCCTAAGGATGGCAATGGGGGCGGGGACCCGTGGGGAACCGCCCCGCGGGGAAGGATGGGGCGGGGCTTGGGGTGGGGTGGGGACGGGGATGGGTGAGATATTTTTACACCGTTAAAAAATGGGACGGGGGATGAGAATAGCTACACCCGCCCGTCCCCCGTTATAAATATATACTCAAACATATATATACACATGCATATATAAATAATGTACAAGCATATTAAATTAAGTTATATGTAGTATATAACAAACACATATAAATATACATATACATATACATATAGACATACATAATTGTATACAGTTTAGTCATGATTAATGAATTAATACATATTATACTTAAAAATATTTATCATAAATGTTATATATGAGTTTTAAGAGTGAGTAAATAATTAAATACACACACACATTTAAATGTAATATGTAATTAACTAATTAATTGTAGGGAAAATAACTTTAAATAATACCAACTATCTTCCATGAACCAATAATAATACCAACTTAGAAATAACTTTTAATAATACCAACTATTTGAATATCTATCAAAAGTGATATATAGCAAATTTTCACTAAAAATCATTTATTCAATTCATCAAAAACTAATATCAAAATATTCAATAAGTGATTGTATTTTCAAATATCAATTATTTGATGATATTTGATGATTTGATGTATTAAATGGCTGAATTTTTTATAGAAAAGTGTCTCTATTTTATTTTTGGTTCACATTCAGATAGTTGGTATTATTAAAAGTTATTTCTAAAGTATGTATTATTATTGGTTCATTGAAGATAGTTAGTATTATTTAAAGTTATTTTCCCTTAATTGTATTATAATTGTTGAGAATTTTGAAACGACGTACATGATGATAATATGTTTACTTATATTTTTACTTTAACTGTCTTCGATTCACAAAACTTATTCAAATTGAAGAATTATTAAAATTGGCGGTATTAACTTTTAACAAACACAATACTTCAGGATTGCATATATGTATATATGTGTGTATATATGTTTATAGGAGTGGGATCACATACAAACTAGTCCTCCCATGCTAACCTACAAACTGTCACAAACTATGCATCTTTACATTATCTGTATTGCATATTGAAGTTCACAGTGTGCATCTTTACATTATTTGTATTGCATATTGAAGTTCAAAGTGTTGCATATTATTGAGTTTGTAGGTTAGTATTTTAAGCATGGTGAAATATAGATTTATAGTTATTTAGTGTTACAATATATATATAATATCTGCGTTGTGTAGATATATATAGATTTAGGATCAAATGAGAACAATGCTTGATTTGAGAACGTGCGAGCACCACATATATCCACAATGCACTTTTTCGTACCAAGCATAATATTTATAAAAGTGCCACAATGATTATTTATAGGGAAAACTGTCAAATAGGTCATCGAACTTTTATAAAAAGGTCAAAAAAGCCCTTATATAGGAGGCTCTGTCCGGCCGTCGCGATTTGGGACGGTTCCCGGTGGAATTGTTTTATGAAAATTTTTTAGCATCGTATTCATCAAGTCTAGTTTACGCATACCAAATTTCAGCTAAAACTTCAATCGGGGACGCATTCAAATTAATTCTTGAAGATAACTGTGCAGTTAAACGCGCAGTTATCTTCAAGAATTAATTTGAATGCGTTCTCGATTGAAGTTTTAGCTGAAACTTGGTATAAGTAAACTAGACTTGATGAATAAGATGCTCAAAAATTTTCATCAAAGAATTCCACCGGGAACCGCCCCAAATCGCGACGGCCGGACAGAGCCTCCTATATAAAGACTTAATTGACCTTTTTATGAAAGTTCGAGGACCTATTTGACAGTTTCCCCTTATTTATATTAGCTTGTATCGAGCAAAGTCCAAATGTGCACTAGAAGAGCTCTATTGTGCATCACATTGGATTAAATGTGAGTGTTCTCATATTCTCACGTTAAGCATCATTCTCATTGGAGCCACATCACATATATTTATAATGGATTAAAAGTGTATGCAAATACGATACATTAAAGGGAAAATCGCACTTTCAGTCCTTGAATTGAAATAGCCACGAAAATGAAATATCGGATCCATATTCCCAAGTTTGTAAATGTCGTCCCTCAATTGTCCTAAATGCTATAAATGTGGTCCTTTAAGGGGTGAAATATACAATGTGGAGAAATCATCTCATCAGGCCGGCCTGACGGGCTGCCCCGTCCGGCCGAGCCCGTTTGGGCACCTTCCCGGTGGAATTTTTTGATGAAATTTTTTGAGCATGTTCCTCATCAAGTCTAGTTTGTCCATACCAAATTTCAGCTCAAAATTCGATCGGGAAGGTCGTCAAATGATTTTTTCAAGTTAACTGGTCCGGAAAATACATATTCCGGACCAGTTAACTTGCAAAAATCATTTGACGACCTTCCCGATCGAATTTTGAGCTGAAATTTGGTATGGACAAACTAGACTTGATGAGAAACATGCTCAAAAAATT